TGAAAGCATCAGTAATGGTGCATTTCCCAGAATTTGGAAATGGTAGGAGTAGCCATCAACAGAATGAATTCTCTAGCCCAATGGAGAGAAGGAGATGTTTCAACTTCTAAGTTACAGATATTTACCCTTTTTTGCAAATAAGCTGTTATTTAAATTGTGACTAGTAGAAAAAGCTCTTAGAATGAAGAACAGAATTAGACACCTTTTCCATTGTGCCACACCTTGGGTGAAATTTGCCATGTTTGTGGAAGTAGGAAGAGCTCCATTATAGGCTATCTGAAGAGACTGACATGTAAGATTGAGCATGAGGGTGCTTTCAGATAGGAATGTGTTACAGTCAAAGGTTTTGAGTTTTTAAAACTGGTTATCAGCATGTCAGATCTAGTCTGGCTGTTTTTATAAAGTTTCTGATCTGTTTTGGTTTATATTTTGCATTCAGACGTTAGGCTGAAGAACAAACACTCTGTACTCACACATGAGCCTACGTTCCAAGGATCCTGTAAAAAAAAAAAAAGTCCAAAACAAAGACCTTCATATATCAGTTGAGAGGGAAAGAGAGCATATAAAAGGGTTAAAAAGAGGTTTGCATTTCTACCACATGCCCTATTGTGTGAACATATGCATGAGTCTATTGAAAGTTTTCAGAAGATGGGCAGGCCACCAGTTGCTGGTCTCCTGCAGTTCCAGTAGACATCTGTTGCCCCAGAGCATTAACCAATCTGTTCAATGGGACATCCCTCCTTTGTTGGATAGAATGATGCAGACAACAGCACTCGCTCAAATACAATGGTAATTAAATACATAGAAACTACAGCAGTAGGTATTTATTACATATTCATTATTTTATTTGCATTGTTGCAGTATCTTTATCATTTGGATAACAGATACGTTCTTTTTTTCTCTTTTCTGATCAACTCTGCACTTCTGTTTGTGACAAGCAGTGAGGGTTTCAACAAAATTATTTCAATATTTTACATTTTGTGTTTAGGAGATTTAGAAAAAATCTACCTATGTGAAAACATGTTGAACACTTTCCTTGTAGACTGTATCTTCAGAAACTTGTTGATGGTCTTCTGAGAATAAACATTTTCTTTTATATTGTGCCACGTGACATTACTTTTCTCTGTTATTTTCCTCTGTGAACTAAATTTGCATTAAATGACTTCTTTTATGCTCAACTGTAAGTGGAAAGTATTCTGAATACACAGTAAAAGATGAGGTGATCTGCTAGCCCACGTCCCTTTGAGAAATATTTCTGTTTTGTGTGGAGGTGAACCGATGGGCTGATTGTTGTTAATGGCTAGTGGAAAATAGTGGCAACTTCTAAGAAATGGTAAAATGTTATATTTCTATAATGAAGTGATCATCTGGATTGTTATATTTATACCTGATAAATGTATCTGCAGTACTTTAAGCCTTTAACAGTGAACGCAGTGTGTGATACTGTCGTTTCAAATAGGCTACAGTTTAAAACTTATATTATCATAGATATGTGTAAATTGGGAGTTACCTGTTTTATTAACCTTTTCATAAATGCACATTCTTTTACTGAGTTGTGGTGAGCATAACCAAAAGGGAAAGACTTTAATGACTGGAATTTTTTGGATGATTTTTGTTTATCTTTCATTTAAGTCAGAATTCATAGTAGACGCTTTTCTTAGCTATATTGCATTGTATCAGTCAGCATGCTTTAAAACCATATGTGTGTAACAAAAGCTCCTTGTCAATAAAGGAATTCTTAGCTACTGTTGCTCCTTAGATAAATGTGACCTTTTCTGGTTTTCATGAGCTTCGTTGTCCTGTATAGGTACACTAGTGTTTATTTGGAATACAAATTCATTCAAATTGACTGCCTGGCATGTTGCTCTTCACTAACCAAACCAAGACAAAATAATCAGCAGCATTCAACAGTGACATCTGATTTTCATGGTTCTAGTCAGTGAATCTCATAAAGGACATCATGATGGGAGCTCCAAAGTGTAATGTTTCTAAGATAGGCTACTGGCCACAAATACAATATGCAAAGTTTCCAGGCATTGTAAAAATTTGTCTGAAAATAAATGCAATTTTCATGCAGGGTTTAGGCCAAATGGCAGGAATAGTGTACTGCTTATGCAAAACTATTTCAGAAATATTTAGCTTTGGATTTACAGTACAAATACAATTTTAACTATGCTTTTAAAGCAATAGTATAGTGACTATATATTATCTGTGGGAGATGTTAAAGCTGCTGCTTTTATTATTCTGTTCTTTAAATAGCTTCTGAAAAACAGTAGAGTTCTTTGCAAAACAAGCAATTATATATTGAAGCATAATGGAGATTGACAGGGAAATTAAAGCAGATAGATGTGAGGCTGATTATGTATATATTCCTAACAATGGACCAAGCTCAGGCTATGGTCATTTTTCATATGCAGTTGATGTGCAAATCATCTAAAGTACGTTTCATATGGTGCCTAATCTTCAGACACATTCATATGCTAGTGACTTCTTTGAATCACACTGGAGGGTGTTATGATTGTAGTTGCTGTAAAGCACTTAAACTTCAAGAAAGAAGTGATTGGAGAATGACTTAAGTATTATTTTAACTAACACAAAAAAAAAAAAAATCCTCTGTCTAATCTATGCACTTCAGGCTTTTGGTATTTGATGCTGTTAATATGCAAACTCTTCTTCCCCCCCTTCCAAAAAAACCCTCCCTTCACTTTTAGTTCAGTACTAAAATGACATTTCACAGTACACGGATTTAGGCAGTGACCCATTATCTCCCTGTATTCTGCAGCAGCAGTACATGAGCCAGCTCAACTTTTCAGTCCAGCTTAAAAGTATTGCCCATTAACTAGACTTCCTCGAGTCAGAGCAGATTGTGGGGTTGGTGGAACAATGATGTCGGGGCTTCCAGATTGGTTTGGCAGCTGCATTGTTCTCCGAGGGGAAACCAGACGCACTTAAGTCCCGCTCTCTTTCATGGGCTTTTGTTCATACCAAATTATTCTTTGGCTGTGCTAGTATTCATGATGGTATGTTAAAGGAGCGCATCCTAGCAACTAGAGGCTGGTTGCTAGGCAGCCTGGCTTCCAATAGGGGCTGCTTGTTTGCGATTTGTTTTAATTTTTGTGTGTGTGTGTGTGTGTCAGTTCTATGAAGGCCACAGTGTTGGTTTTTTGACTGTATCTTTTTATTGGAATATTGTGATTTGTTACTACCTCTGTGCTATTAAGTGTATTATCTTACTTAATAAATCACCGTGTGAAAAGGTCCATTTCCTAAATTCTTGTGGTGTTTAATCTTTGGGTTGCTTGAAATCCTAAAGCCTTGCGTTAAGAGAAGGCAATATTCATTAATGCACTGCCTGAGAACTACAGCCCTACTGCCTTGTAGCAAGATAAGATCTAAATAAAACTTTGTTTTCTTCCTTATTGGCCTTGATAGGATTAAGGTGTTGGAGATGAAAGTGCTGATGGTAGACAAGATATATTTATTTTAAGTAGAAATGTTTAGGTAAAGTAAGATTTTTGTGCCCCATAACCAGAACGCTCTACCACAATGGTGATGTCTTGGCACTCCCTGCCTATAGAATCTACTTTTACTGAGCCATGGATTGGACTGTTTGTTTGATTCTCTCTAATCGTAAACCTGGATTAATTTCTCTGGTGCACACTCACACATCATTATCGCAAGAAGAGGAAGGTACACTGGATATTAAAAATACCCCATCAGTTTTAAATGGTCACCTGTAAGGGAATGGGAGAGTTAATGTGCTTGCTGACAGAAATTTTAAGTTCAAGTGAAGTCCTTTGTCTCTTGCTTTATATTCTGCCTTACAAGATGGAAGTGTGAAAGAACTCTTTGTTTCATAGTCTTTCCTTAATTTAAATTCTTCTTTTTCATGGTAACCTTGCAGTACAATTGGTCCATATGGTCCATTTTTATTTATGAGAAATAATTTATGTTTTATTTTCTTTATTGAAGCAGTTAGCAAAGATTGCCATTTCAAAGAACAAAGTAAGGGAAAGAGGTAGCAATCTGCCTTCAAATGTAGGGTGTTGAAGTAATGTTTGTGATGAAATGGGTAACTAACTTCTGTATAACTACTGCTATGCAGAATTACTTAAGAAAATCTGATATGGAGAGTATATGAAGTCCAGAAAACTGCAACCTCTTTCTTCCATTCTTCCTAAATGACTCATATCTATACACGTATAATTTTGGTTTATCAAAAAGCTTGCAGAATTCTAATGCAGGAGCTGAAAACAGCTTTTAATTTTGTTGCTTTGTTGGCTTGATGAATGGTCTGTTGGAATTAGTGCAAAGACTTCCATTGGCTTTATGGGCCATTAGATCAATCCATGTCCCTAAATGCTGTATGTGTTAGTAATACAACACTCTGTTGAGAGCAATTAGTCTTTCTTGACTTAATTATCAGTTTATAAGGGAATTCAGAAATAGTTTGAGTGTATTCAGTTGAGCTGATAGTGTCTTTCAGGGCCAGTAAGTTTTTATTTAATCATGTTTTCTGTTACTAATAAGCCAGAGAATCTAGCACTATGCTAATTTCTTTCTGTTCAACATACTGCAAGGTATTTCATTCGAAAACCTTTTCTAGTGTATTTTATAGTCACCTTTTTTTTGTTGTTACAGCATAGTATATGAGATACAGAAGTATCTCATAGTTTTTAAATAGTTACTTTACTCCTGTCTCTACATTACAGTAGTAAACTTGGAGTCTTTGATTTCATATTCTTTCATAAATCCATTTCTAGAAATGTATAAGTAAAAATATTTGATACATTCAGAAGACAGGTGGTTAGTTATTTATCCACCTAGCTATAGATATTCCTTAGGAAGAGTTTTTTCCACAAAAAGCCTTCCATGTTTAAAAAAAAAAGAAGTTCTATTTCTCAGCTGCAAGAGAATAAATGCAGTTCTGAGGAAGCAGCAAGAAAATAGAAAACAAGTAATGCATGTAACCAGTTGCAACATTTTTGTTTTCTCTTTAGGAATACGGAACACTTTATATTCAGGAATACAAGAAAAACAGCAAAGTGGAGTCAAGTGCATGCAGCAGCTTCATGGGCTTGAAGGATCATCTGGGGCATGACTTAGGCCACCTTTATGTGGGGAGCACTGGCACACAAATAAATGCAATTGTACCTTGGTCAATGGCGGAGAAGCCAACGATGGATAAGATTAATTCTAGGAAAGAAGACAGAGAAAAGGAGACATCTGAAGAGACTTCTGGAAGCTCCAGCTGTGACTCCGAAGAAAGCACAAATTCTGATAATGATTCAGAGAGACTGAATAATTCTGCATCAGAGTCACATTTATTGCCTAAGACTCATCGACAGCTGTGCCGATCTCCTTGCTTAGAGCCTCATATATTAAAAAGAAATGAAATCTTGCAAGACTTTAGGATAGAAGAGGCTCACATAGTACCTAAGGAAGTCAAAAAGCCTCCTGATGTGGTGAAAGAATATCAAACCAAACTGGAGTTTGCACTTAAGTTGGGTTACTCTGAAGAGCAGGTTCAACTTGTACTAAATAAACTTGGTACTGATGCTTTAATAAATGATATTTTGGGAGAACTTGTCAAACTCGGGAATAAAACTGAGACTGATCAGACTGTAACTAATGCTAACACTAGTGTAATGCGTGAAGCGTCTTCCATAGAGTCTCAGAGGTCAGAGTCTCCACTGCAGGAGGATGTGACAGAGGATGGAGACAACCTGAGGCCAATAGTTATTGATGGCAGCAATGTTGCAATGAGGTATGTGACCATGAAGGTTTTGCTTTTCTATTTAAATGGAAACGAAAGGTTCTTACCATCAGTTCAAGCACTGATGTTTGGTGTAACTGCCTTAAACTGTATGCAGGGTCTCTTTTAAGTGTCTTTGTCAACCACACAGTGTGCTGATACTGTAATAAGGCCACAGGTCTGTAGGACTTCAGTGGTGTACTAGTCACTGTTAGAACAACCAGAGGTTAATGCCATTGTCCCTTTGTAGGCAGATAGCAAATCTCTTCTTCTCACTGCCACTCTAGTCCTTAATTTTTGGTAGTCACCATTGCTACAGGCAATTGCTGGATGGAGTTACATACAAAAAGTTACAGCAAACGTGAGATTCCTTAAGATTATAAAATAGTGATGTAGAATTAAGCAGCTTAAGGGATACTTCTTAGCTGGCTAATCTGTGAGAACTGATCTGCCCATAACATTGGTCTTGGCTGTCAGTTTTGGAATTAGGTTTTGTTGCCATTAATTGTTGAGATTGGTATATAAAAGATTACTTTCACTTACATGCCCACGGATAGCACATTTACCTGCCATGTTCACTGATCCTGACCCAGTCATCTGGGTGCATAACAAGAAACTTGCCTGTGATGGTGAGAGGTTCATGCTTCATCAGTAATTAAAGAGAGAAGGAAATGGCAGAGAGAAATGCTGAGAGATTAGGTTTTTATGGCAATATAAATGATTAAATGATAAATTGATTGGTAAGTGATTCAGTAAGTCATAAAGATTGTCTGATTACTAACAACAAGGTTTAGGAGGTCGGTTTTAGTTTTCTGATGACTTGATGTGGTTTTCATTACCTCAGGAATAAAAGTTAATGCAAGACTTTCCTGGGCTAAAAGAAAACCCCTGGCATTTCCATGATACTTTTTTTTAGCTTCTAATCAAGTCAATTACCTTTAAATGAAGCTTTTTAAAATGAAATTTAAATATATGACTTATTTATGCCAATATGATGGGTTTTGGTTTTTTTAAGTAGAGGAGTTAGCACAATAAGGCAAGGATATTACTTTTTTAATATGTTATATTCCTGTGAGTTCTTTTTGCTGGATGTGTGGTTCCTTATCGCTTGGTTCAACTTGAGTTGTAGAGGAGGCATGTGGAGTTGAACAAACACGATTGTGGCACTCAACCAAGAAGTTACCTAGCGACTTCTAAAATGGGGTTTTATTATACTTCACATAAATCCCAAATGGTTGTGTGTTAGCTAGTTAGCACAGCTCAGACTTGGTGGGTGGACATAGGTTCAACTTCTCCTACAAACTGTACTGAACACATTCCAAAATTAGCTCCAGATCTGTAATTTTTCCTTAATGTTTATTCAGCTATTAGCATAAATATTTAGGATCTGCCTTCCTATGTTAAATTTACTTTCTTGACCACCTGCATCAAATGAACCAACTATGAATGTATGCGATGCATGCTGCAGGACCTTAATAGAGTAAATGTATTCATAGAATGGTTGTTCTGTATCCAATAATCAAATTATCAGGTCTTTACTTGTTTTCTGCCAAATGTAATCACAGAATTATTCCATTTGGAAGGGGCCTTTGGAGATCCGTACACAGAGCTGTGTCATTGCAAGGCCATGTCCAGCTGGGTTTTAAATGTCTCTAAGGAGATGGAGAGTCAACGTATTCTCTAGGCCAGTGTTTGAATGCCCTTATTGTAAGAAAGTTTCCTTATTTTATGTTAAAGCAACATTTCTTGTATTCTATTTTGTGCCCATTGCCTTTTGTTCTGTCATTGGACACCAGTGAGAAATCAGTTTCTGTTCCCTTTATTTTTTCCAATCCGGTATTTAGACACATGGATAAGATCTTCCCTCTCTAGGCTACAGTCCTAGATCTCTCAGCCCTCCTCCTTGTATGAAAGGTGTTCCAGTCCCTTGATTAATTTTGTTGTGCTTCACTGGCCTTTCTCCAGTGTTGGCTATGTCTGTCTTGTATGGGGGAGCCCAGAATGAGCCTAGCACTCCATATGCATGAGTAGAGAAGGATCCCCTCCCTTGACCTGCTGGCAGTGCTTGTCCTAATGCAGCCCAGGAGGTTGTTGGCCTTCTGTGCTGCAAATGCACATTGGTGCCTCATGATCGGCTTGGTGTTCACCAGAACCCCACTGTCCTTCACTTCAGAGTTGCTTTCCAGGTGATCAGCCCCCAGGCTGTACTGATGATTAGCATTAGACCTCAGCAGCTGGAGGATTGGCATTTCCCTCTGTTGAATTTGCTGAGGTACCTGTTGGCATGTTGCTCTACCCTGACCAGGGTCCCTCTCAATGAGAGTACACCCATATGGTGTTCTCCTCCCAGCTGAGCATCCTGCAAACTTGCTGAGCATGACTCTGTTCTTCTATCTAGGCCATTATGGAGATGTTAACCGATGCATTCCCCCCCGCCAGTCCCTAAAGTACACAGACACTGATTGACCTTCAAGTGGACTTTATGCCGCTAAACACCTTTGAGTGCAGCAGTTCAGTCAGATTTCAGTCCATCTCTGCTCTAACTTTGTCCCTACTTCCCTAGTTTGTCAGTGACACTGTGTTAAGAGAAGGCTGCTACAAGAACAAAGCTGTACTCTAACTTTGTCCCTACTTCCCTAAGTTTGTCAGTGACGCTGTGGTAAGAGAAGGCTGCTACAAGAACAAAGCTGTCAGAAGCTTTATTAAAGCCACAATAAACTGTGTCTGCTGCTCTCCTTATCCACTGAACAAGTCATCTCACCATAAAAGCCTGTGAGGCTGCTCAAGCATATTTCTTCTTCAAAAATCCATGCTTACTGTTCCCAGTCACCTTCATCCAGTCTACGTACAGAAATGGTTTGCAGGACAATTTGCTCCATCACCTTTGCAGGGATCAGGGTGAGGCTGACCAGCTCTATAGGTCCCTGAATTACCCTTCTTTCCCCCCTTTAAAATGGAAAGGATATTTCCCTTTTCTAGACATCAGGAATATCCCAAATCACCACAACTTTCAAAAATTGCCAAGAGAGGCCATACAATGTCAATAGCCAGCTCCCTTAACACCTATCAGCCAGGGCCCAGAAGCTTGGCAATATCCCATTTCACTGTTCCCAAAAGTCAGCTGAGGGAAAGTCTTGTCCTGCTACTTTTGCCCAACTTCCTGCACATTGCTGTGGGCCAGTCTTGAGCTTGGCATGGGTGATTCTTGAAAAATCCACCATCTCTCCTGGGCACTCTTCTCTGCATGGGATACTCCTCAGTAGGCCAAAATCTGCTTTTCAGAATTCTGATCTTATAATCCTGCTTTTTGCCTTGCTCTGTCTTGACTGAATCTGCCTCTCACGGTCACTGCAGCAGAGGCTGCCCCTGACCTTCCCGTCTCAGTCTCCTCCCTTGTTTCTAGGTATGAGGCCCAGCTGGTGCACTTGTTAGGTACTCAGTCACCCATGTTAAGAAGTTACTGCAAAAGCACTCCAGAAACTTCCTGGATTACTGATGCCTTGCTGTGTTGGTCAGAACAAAAGCATCTTTGCCAACTGGCTGGTTGGTCCAGTGCATCCCACCTTTTTCTAGAAATCAGTCCTTGGTTAGGAAAGCCAGTCCCATTTATGTGAAAGATGAGTCTCAGCTGCTGACGTCTGTTGTGCAACCAGTTTGCCCACAGGATCTGTCCTTTCTCCTTCAAGAAAATAAGTACTAGTAACTAAGCACTTCAAATACTGGACAGATTTCAGCTTTTACATGCAGGAGAGACAGGAGTTCACTTGCAGTTCAATCTTCTTCAGATTTCTGTATGTAAATGTCCAGGGTCCTGTTATGTATAGCAATAAATTGTCATAGTTTTGTCTTTGCTCTTCCAAGCTGTGGCCAATGAGTTCACTCTGGAATTGCTAAAGGAAAATGGGCCTGTGCCCTAAGCAAGACCGTAGGTAGTCTTTTGAGATGTGTTCTTGGAAGCCTTCTCACAATTTATCACAGGAATGGTTAAACTGTGATCTATATTCTTACTCACATATTGTTGTAATGCACATACTTGATGATAACATTTGCTATTAGAACTATTCTAGAGAAGAGCTACTAATTTTCATTTAAAGGATGTATTTGATGGGGAGGGAAAGTTTTATGGAGAAGGTTGGGGTGACTGATGTTCAATAATTCAAGTAGGATGAGATGACTGTCCTCTTCTGGAAGGATCAAACACTGTGCTACCCGGTGTCTCCATTCCATGACTAATTAAGGATGTAGTTTCACAAGACATCCGGTGAGTGACACAGAGTGATTTACTTTTAGGCTTGCCTCTATCCCACTGCCAGGGCTGCTTTCCTGTCTGCATCTCATCTAGTGACTGGGTGGCTGCAAAATGAGTTGATTCACCTTCCTAATTCAGAGACCAGGGGAATCAGAAAGAATTATTTTTCCATTAGACCAGTTAACATAACCTGATGTTTTTGTCATTGGGAGAACAACTTGATCCGACACAAAGGCGGAAGAATATGTCTGATTATGTGACTGGATGTTCATATTTGTGGAACTGGTTGCAACTAATGAGCTGATGGATTCATGAATTTCTTTTGAGCAGCACGGAAAAAGGCTTGGGTCAGAACAACTTACTCTGGCAAGCCAGAGCCCACGTGTATGCCAGTCGTCTGGTGACTACTCCTGTTACAGACAAGCTGTTTTAGCAAACTGTAGATTCAGAGAAACCCAACAGTCAGTTTTTCTACCTTTTGGTATCATTTGGAAAGCTTTCCTTAAACTTTCATATGACACTGCTTATCGTTTGTGCATTAAACTGTAAGTGAGTCATCAAATGCATCTTTTGTATATCAAGTTTAAAGCTATAATATGGTCTAAATAATATGAATTGGCTGAAGTTTTAAAAACAAAGAGAACACCCTCTTTCAACTGAATAGCAGAAAGGAGGCTTTTGCAAGCTATGACTTGAAGAATTGCTATTTAGCTTCCTATAGGATACTTCAGGTCTGGTCTTGTTTAGTTATTCTACCTTTCTT